TGTCGAACGGCATCAAAATCTCGACTACGAAAATGAGGCCGATTTTTGGCAAATTTCATGATGTAACCATCATGATTTTTTGCGAAAATCGTGAAAAACTGGATGTCCCTTAGTCCGATGTCAGTCGATTCGCAGGACTCTCCCGATCACGTAGAGACATGCCGCACTCCGATCGCCCGCCGTATAGCAGAGATATAGACTACAGAAAACTCAGTATTTTAATGATATCCAAATCTTCGGAAGGCTATATCTCAGATAAATAGAGCCAGATCGGTGAAGGACCAACGCTCCCAGGATCGTGAGGATCCAGACTGTCGAACGGCATCAAAATCTCGACTACGAAAATGAGGCCGATTTTTGGCAAATTTCATGATGTAACCATCATGATTTTTTGCGAAAATCGTGAAAAACTGGATGTCCCTTAGTCCGATGTCAGTCGATTCGCAGGACTCTCCCGATCACGAAAAGATATGCCACACTCCGATCGACTGCCGTAAAGCAGAGATATAGACTACAGAAAAACCAGTATTTTAATGATATGCAAATTTTCGGAAGGCTATATCTCAGATAAATTGAGCCAGATCGGTGAAGGACCAACGCTCCCAGGATCGTGAGGATCCAGACTGTCGAACGGCATCAAAATCTCGACTACGAAAATGAGGCCGATTTTTGGCAAATTTCATGATGTAACCATCATGATTTTTTGCGAAAATCGTGAAAAACTGGATGTCCCTTAGTCCGATGTCAGTCGATTCGCAGGACTCTCCCGATCACGAAAAGATATGCCACACTCCGATCGACTGCCGTAAAGCAGAGATATAGACTACAGAAAAACCAGTATTTTAATGATATGCAAATCCAAATCGTTGGAAGGCTATATCTCGGCTATTTATGGGCCGATCGGCGAAGGACCAACGCTCCCAGGATCGTGAGGATCCAGACTGTCGAACGGCATCAAAATCTCGACTACGAAAATGAGGCCGATTTTTGGCAAATTTCATGATGTAACCATCATGATTTTTTGCGAAAATCGTGAAAAACTGGATGTCCCTTAGTCCGATGTCAGTCGATTCGCAGGACTCTCCCGATCACGAAAAGATATGCCACACTCCGATCGACTGCCGTAAAGCAGAGATATAGACTACAGAAAAACCAGTATTTTAATGATATGCAAATTTTCGGAAGGCTATATCTCAGATAAATTGAGCCAGATCGGTGAAGGACCAACGCTCCCAGGATCGTGAGGATCCAGACTGTCGAACGGCATCAAAATCTCGACTACGAAAATGAGGCCGATTTTTGGCAAATTTCATGATGTAACCATCATGATTTTTTGCGAAAATCGTGAAAAACTGGATGTCCCTTAGTCCGATGTCAGTCGATTGGGAGGACTCTCCCGATCACGTAGAGACATGCCGCACTCCGATCTACTGCCGTAAAGCAGAGATATAGACTACAGAAAAACCAGTATTTTAATGATATGCAAATCCAAATCGTTGGAAGGCTATATCTCGGCTATTTATGGGCCGATCGGCGAAGGACCGTCTCTCCCAGGATTGTGAGGATCCAGACTGTCGAACGGCATCAAAATCTCGACTACGAAAATGAGGCCGATTTTTGGCAAATTTCATGATGTAACCATCATGATTTTTTGCGAAAATCGTGAAAAACTGGATGTCCCTTAGTCCGATGTCAGTCGATTCGCAGGACTCTCCCGATCACGAAAAGATATGCCACACTCCGATCGACTGCCGTAAAGCAGAGATATAGACTACAGAAAACCCAGTATTTTAATGATATCCAAATCTTCGGAAGGCTATATCTCAGATAAATTGAGCCAGATCGGCGAAGGACCAACTCTCCCAGGATCGTGAGGATCCAGACTGTCGAACGGCATCAAAATCTCGATTACGAAAATGATGCCGATTTTTGGCAAATTTCATGATGAAACCATCATGATTTTTTGCGAAAATCGTGAAAAACTGGATGTCCCTTAGTCCGATGTCAGTCGATTCGCAGGACTCTCCCGATCACGAAAAGATATGCCACACTCCGATCGACTGCCGTAAAGCAGAGATATAGACTACAGAAAACCCAGTATTTTAATGATATGCAAATTTTCGGAAGGCTATATCTCAGATAAATTGAGCCAGATCGGCGAAGGACCAACGCTCCCAGGATCGTGAGGATCCAGACTGTCGAACGGCATCAAAATCTCGACTACGAAAATGAGGCCGATTTTTGGCAAATTTCATGATGTAACCATCATGATTTTTTGCGAAAATCGTGAAAAACTGGATGTCCCTTAGTCCGATGTCAGTCGATTCGCAGGACTCTCCCGATCACGAAAAGATATGCCACACTCCGATCGACTGCCGTAAAGCAGAGATATAGACTACAGAAAACCCAGTATTTTAATGATATGCAAATTTTCGGAAGGCTATATCTCAGATAAATTGAGCCAGATCGGCGAAGGACCAACGCTCCCAGGATCGTGAGGATCCAGACTGTCGAACGGCATCAAAATCTCGATTACGAAAATGATGCCGATTTTTGGCAAATTTCATGATGAAACCATCATGATTTTTTGCGAAAATCGTGAAAAACTGGATGTCCCTTAGTCCGATGTCAGTCGATTCGCAGGACTCTCCCGATCACGAAAAGATATGCCACACTCCGATCGACTGCCGTAAAGCAGAGATATAGACTACAGAAAAACCAGTATTTTAATGATATGCAAATCCAAATCGTTGGAAGGCTATATCTCGGCTATTTATGGGCCGATCGGCGAAGGACCGTCTCTCCCAGGATTGTGAGGATCCAGACTGTCGAACGGCATCAAAATCTCGACTACGAAAATGAGGCCGATTTTTGGCAAATTTCATGATGTAACCATCATGATTTTTTGCGAAAATCGTGAAAAACTGGATGTCCCTTAGTCCGATGTCAGTCGATTCGCAGGACTCTCCCGATCACGAAAAGATATGCCACACTCCGATCGACTGCCGTAAAGCAGAGATATAGACTACAGAAAAACCAGTATTTTAATGATATGCAAATCCAAATCGTTGGAAGGCTATATCTCGGCTATTTATGGGCCGATCGGCGAAGGACCGTCTCTCCCAGGATTGTGAGGATCCAGACTGTCGAACGGCATCAAAATCTCGACTACGAAAATGAGGCCGATTTTTGGCAAATTTCATGATGTAACCATCATGATTTTTTGCGAAAATCGTGAAAAACTGGATGTCCCTTAGTCCGATGTCAGTCGATTCGCAGGACTCTCCCGATCACGAAAAGATATGCCACACTCCGATCGACTGCCGTAAAGCAGAGATATAGACTACAGAAAACCCAGTATTTTAATGATATGCAAATTTTCGGAAGGCTATATCTCAGATAAATTGAGCCAGATCGGCGAAGGACCAACGCTCCCAGGATCGTGAGGATCCAGACTGTCGAACGGCATCAAAATCTCGACTACGAAAATGAGGCCGATTTTTGGCAAATTTCATGATGTAACCATCATGATTTTTTGCGAAAATCGTGAAAAACTGGATGTCCCTTAGTCCGATGTCAGTCGATTCGCAGGACTCTCCCGATCACGTAGAGACATGCCGCACTCCGATCGACTGCCGTAAAGCAGAGATATAGACTACAGAAAAACCAGTATTTTAATGATATGCAAATCCAAATCGTTGGAAGGCTATATCTCGGCTATTTATGGGCCGATCGGCGAAGGACCGTCTCTCCCAGGATTGTGAGGATCCAGACTGTCGAACGGCTTCAAAATCTCGATTACGAAAATGAGGCCGATTTTTGGCAAATTTCATGATGTAACCATCATGATTTTTTGCGAAAATCGTGAACAAATTGATGTCCTTTATTCCGATGTCAGTCGATTTGCAGGACTCTCCCGATCACGTAGAGACATGCCGCACTCCGATCGCCCGCCGTAAAGCAGAGATATAGACTACAGAAAAACCAGTATTTTAATGATATGCAAATTTTCGGAAGGCTATATCTCAGATAAATTGAGCCAGATCGGTGAAGGACCAACGCTCCCAGGATCGTGAGGATCCAGACTGTCGAACGGCATCAAAATCTCGACTACGAAAATGAGGCCGATATTAATGTGATGAAGTCCTTATCAAGGATCAAGAACATATTCCCCAACAAAAAATATTTAGTTTTCTCTGATATTTGTGAACTGATCTAGACGTTCCACGCCTTGTTGTAATTGGGATAGTTTCCCCCATACAGGATACAGAAAGGATGATTTTTCAATTTTGTATATAAACAAGTGGAAAACATTTGTATCTTTTTTCAGAATATATAGACGTGTATATCGTTAAACCTAACAACGACGATATCTATCTACAGTCTAGTAGCCCGCGTAGCCCCTCCCTTGGTTGCCATAGTCAAAGTCCTCATTGTCGATGTCCAGGTGAAAGGATGACGACGGCTTGTTTGTGCGAGTGCATGGGGTGCGCTTCTGTCCTGGTGGGATACGATTCTGTCAGGCTGGGATAGGACTCGGTCTGTTTTGAATACGGAAAGGAATGTTGCTTATTCTGTGCCAATGTTGTGGGACAATGTTGCTCATTGTTTAAAATTCCCAGCAGCTTTTGATACTATCGACTAGACAATCTCTAGAGTTAAATCGTGACAAGTATGATATGAATGCAATCCAGTAAAATAAATGATGCAAGGAAGCACTATATGAAGGAAGGGCAACACTATGTTCTTTAATATAGATATAAAAATGCAATTTAATAGATTGATATCTTTGAATTTTCCGAATGTCTGCCAGTATATTTAATGCCTATTGTCCATCATAAATCTAACATTGCACTGGAACTAAAATCTCAGCCCTAGAACCAAGTACCGAAATCCTAGAGCGTCATAGTGGGTGTTGGTAGGGGTTGAAATTCGTAAGTACTCTCCAAACTATTTGCATACTTAATGATCATCTATAAATAATTTTCAGGTCTTTGTCAATTAGAGTTTGTTTCTATTTAGGTTGTTAAATAAATGGATTGGATGTATAAGTACAGCTAATATAACAAAACATCTTAATAAAACAAAAAAACCAAAAATTTGTTTAAGAATGTTTTAAAAGGGCATATTTTACTTATGGTGTGTTTGTGTATGTGTGTGTTTGGAGACGGGCTACTATAGATTACAAGAATCAACCTAAACATTGTTAAACAATTATTTATATTAATATTTCTTCATTTTAAAATTAGGAATAGTTTTGCTTTCTGTTTATCCTTCAACTTGGACGTCGAACTACGGACTACTTAAAACTTGGTTCAAGTTTTGGTAATGCGTTGCAGCTGGTAACACGATTTTATCATTTGGTAGTGCAGTGCTTGGTTACGCCTCCAGATCATTTACAAATAGCACCTCGCGGTTCTTTAGACCAACATCCTGGAGCGTTCTGCTGAGAGTCTCATTTACGGCACTTTCGGGACCGTCCATGTCTGCCATGGTATAGAGCACACGTTTGGGGAAATTCGTTGTGATTTCGAACTCATCCGGCGATTCAGGATGGCAGAACAAAAAGCGGTAGACATCCTGTACAATAATTGGGAATGATAAGAGTTTTGTAATCGGAATTCGTTGCAAATTTTAAGCTTACCAAAAGCGAATTGGTCTGATGGAAGCGTCGCTCGAGTCGCGTTCCACTGGGCATTTTGAAGACCACTGCAATGACTCCAGCAGCGTCTGCGGGCGGTTCGGAGGGTACTAGGGTGGCCAATTCAATCTTCTGTCTTGCGATCTCCTCCTTACGCAGCTCGACATTCTGCCTGGCTTGCTCCTCAGCCTCTTGCGCTTGACGCACCACATCACGTTCAAGTTGCCGTATGCGTTCCTTTTCCTCATCAGCCAGTAAACTCTGCTCGTATGCCTCGTCCTGCTGTCGTCGTAGGGTCTGTGTGAAGTTGCGCTCCAAGCGATCTGCTCTGGCCTGACTGAGCCACACCTCGTTGGCGGCAGTTACCGATTGGAGTCGTCGCAAAAGCTCCTCGGGGGTGCAGTCACCTTCGAATCGTCCCACAATCATCATGCGATTGGCTCTCAGACTAATCATTACCATTAATGGGTAATTCCGTACCGTAATCGACTGCATGACTCTATAGCCCTCGGGCGAGGACACGTCACAGCCCCAGAGTAGCGTGTGTGTGTTGATATAGTCGATAACCGATCTTGACGAGAGCGTCTCACGGCAGAATGAATCAACATCTGGGTTCTTGCTGGGATCCGTGTGCAGATAGACAATCAGAAAGCGCAACTCTTGCTTGGCATCGTTCAGGGCCTGGGCGTATGTGCCCTGATAGAAGACTGGATGCTCGGGATATCTCTCGTAGTAGTCGTGTATGAACTTCATGACATCCCCCAAGGGATCCGTGACCAATCGGTTCTCATTTCCTCCACCAAGATTCAGAAATGCACCGACAATGCTCGTTAGCGTCGAGTAAAAGTATTGGAATACAAAGTTAATCACATAGCCCAGTAGGCCCGTAAAGCTGCGGGGCATGGGACCGCTTGGCACCCGACTGATCGTCCGACCCCCGGGCATATTTGCGGAGAAAACCTGTTGCAGGAAACGATCATTGATCACAGCCGGTGCCCGTACCTCTGTGGAGGCTGCGAACATTGTGGGTCGACCTTCGCGTATGTTTAGCTGCTCCTGGAAAGCAACCTGCAATGTAAAAAAGGTTCCTTTTCAGTTCACTTCTGCTGAGTCTGACTTGTACGTGTATCCACCTCGAGATCCCATTGATGTCTGATGAGCACATCGCGACATATATTCATATCCTCTATGCCGGTCAGGTCCTGAAATTGTAGAACCTTTTCCGTCTGTTCATTTGTAAGTCCGTCCGCCTCCATTTTCGCAGCAGGTGAGGTGATGGTCCGTCAGTCCGTCTCCTTGTTTTTGGTGTCGCTGTCTCTGGGCTGCGTGTATGTGTGTCACAATTTCGCTGCTTCTAGTGTTGTTGTAGTAGTTGGCCTTTGTCCACTGCTTTTCCTGTGGCAACGGGGTGGAAAGTATTGCGTTGTTAGTGCTTTAACAGCTCTGCTAAGTGCGTAAAATGATATTAGCGCAAGGAAATTGCAAAAATTACAAACTTCTTAACATTTCTCGAAAAATATTGTTTTTTCTTTTTCGCAGGTGACGGTTCTTCTTCTTGCTTTTTCCCAATGCCAGGGACGGCGATTAGTGCAGCCGCCAGCTCAGCCGTTCGCACTGATTTTCGCAGCGGCGGCAATAAATGCCCATTTGGCACTTCTCAATTTCAAAAATTGTATCTTACGTATTTCGAAAGGTTTCTAAAATTAAAATCTATGCACGAGTTTAGTGTAAAAACGACAACAATTTCTTTTTTGCAGGTGACGGTCAGTGTGACCGCGGACTTATCGTTAAAATATACCGTCCGACCCTCAGAAATATACCGAAATATAACGTCCAATTTTAAAAATATACCGTAAATATCCTGACGAACTCAAGTTCTATTATACATATTCCTCAATTTTGATGTTCTGTCCAATATTATTAGTTATATAGAACATTAAGCCATGCCCACATAGTTGTATACGATTGATGAATCATTTTTCTACTTAACTGGCTTATTCTTCATACTTGCTTTTATTGGATTTTTCGTAAGCTTATATCGAAATAGGTCAAACAATAAAAAAGGTTTTAGCGAAAATGGCAAATTATACAATTAATGAATCTATTAACTCTTAAACTCTTGTTTTTGTTGGATTTAGTCTACAAAAATGTTTTAGCAATGGTCAAATAAAAAAAACGTAATAAGACGTAAGAGAAAAGTCGTTCCTATTGCTCAATTTTGATATTCCGTTGAATGCCCATATAATTTTAGGCCATTGATGAATAAATTTTCTATTGTTATTTTACTATATCAAGGTTTAAACCAAAAAGGTCAACAAAAAACAGTGGTAACGTAAGTGAGTATGAAATGTCTCGTCATCCGGAGTTTGGGCAGAGGTATACCATATTTAGTTAATATATGAAGAAACTGTTTTCCTAGCTGTTTTAAAACGTAAACTTGGATAATTCGTCAGTATATTTACGGTATATTTTCGTATATTTTGATATATTTCTGAGGATCAGACCGTATATTGTATCAATAAATCCGCGGTCACATTCAACAAGTAGCATCACTAAAATTTGAAATTTCGTTAGTTTTAATCATGCATTTAATTTCAACCTCCAAGAGAACCGTACTTTCCGACTTTGCCGACTTAGAGACAAAGTCGACATATGTGCATGAAAACGGAGAGCCCACAGATTTTCAATTCAATGCCCAGCGACGGGTGTTCGTCGAGGTGGATAAGATGGCGGGCTTGGCTGTGATGCGCATACGAGAGAAAGAGGAAAAAGGTAATTGGAAAGATCTGAAAGATAGTCCATACTACTTATAAGGTATCCAATTGGCAGCCCCCGAGATACAACGAGTCCGCAAATTAACCATCGATAATGCCTTTAGTGTTTGCTGTGCGAAGCAGACGTCGGAGGAGATCGCTTTGGGCCAGACCAGCGGCTGTGTGAAGATATACAACTATCGCTCCGCACAGCTAATCCACAGATTCCCAGCGGATCAGAAGCGCAGCACTGTCCTCTATGTGGATTACAATTGCACGGACGAGTATATCGCAGCGGTGAAGGAAGGCGGCTCGGTCAATATATTCGGAACCAAGACGAAGCAAAAGATCAATACATTCACCATCGATGAGCAGTGAGTGGTGCTACCTTGAAGTGTGAGCTCTTTTGCATTTATCTTGATGTATTGCAGGTCTACCTTGGTTCGCTTTCATCCCAGCAAACGGTTCCAGCTGTCGATTGCCTCATACAAGGGCGCCGTTACCGTCTACGATTTTCAGAGTAAACGCAAGATCTTCCACGTGAGCGATGCTCATGATGCTCCCTGCCGGGACGTTAGCATGTGCACGGCCCAGCCTTCGCTGCTGGTCAGCGTTGGGTACGATTGCAAGATAAATATCTTTGATATTCGCCGCAATCGGGCACAGCCCGCGACTAGCCGACTGACTTACTCGCATCCTTTGTCCACGGTGGCTCTGAGCGAGTGTGGTACTTACTTTTGTGCAGGAAATCTCAAAGGTGAACTGATCGCCTACGACATAAGGAATACCAAGTCGCCGCTCGCCGTGCGTAACGTGCACGATGGCGCCGTCACTCGTGTGGCCTTTGTGCCCACGCCCACGGAGTTGCAGCAAAGCATAAGTTTCTCCAGCGCTGGCAACGTGACCGCTGAAGGTCCCAAAGTGGAACGCCTGCCCAGCGACGAGCTGCGCAAGTCTATTGCCGCCAATTTGCTGAGTACTCAACAGCAGCTGAATAGCATGGCAAGCCTGGGCTATGGAACGGGAAGTGTGACTGTTCGCCCACAGCGGGACTCATTTTGTGACTTCCTCGATGCCCAGGGACCTAGGTCCGTCGAGCGCATGTCCACGCGTCTGAACGCGCACCGCGACAGCTTCGATTGGGAGACTTTGGGCCGCAGGACCAACGAGAATTCGCATCGACTAAGCCTATGCCCAGCGGGTGGCTCTGGTCTCAGCTCTGTGGAAAACTCGTGCAACAGCTCCAATGCCGAGTCTTTGCATCGTAAGTCGAGGTGTTCCAATCTCACTCCATTTTTTAATTATCTATTCTCTTCTAGAAACATTGAGCGGACCACTCAAGGATCGCAGTAACATTTCTGGGGACGCGAAACTGATGAAAATAGCCGAGACCGATGAGCACAGCGAGCGGGAAGAGCCTTCGGCCAACTGCTCCGTGGCCAGCAGCTCCACGGGCAGCGACAAGGAGAACCCCCAAGTGGCGGACGCCGAACTAAAACGCCGCTTGCGCATGCTTTCGTCTAGCAGAAACAGTACCCCTCATCATGTGAACACCACGCCACAGTCGTCGAGCACTCTGCTGAAGCCCCAGCAGCTGTTGGCCAAGTCATCAAGTGGTTTATCCGCTCAGGTGGAAACGGATGTGCGCAGGGAGATCGGAGAGTTGCGCGAACTTATGGAACAACGCTTCGAGAATCTGGAGAAAGAGATTAAGTATGCCGGCGAGAAAAATAAGTGGCAAGTAATCGGCCAGATGTCCAACTACTGGAATCGTCAGCTGGTGAACACGCATGAGATTCGCGATGGCCTGGCCGTGCTCCTGCAGGGCGATCGTTTCATGTACGAGTTCTCGCGACTGCAAAACGAGAACGAGATGCTCAAGGCACAAGTGAAGCACCTGCTGAGAGAAAGAGAGGATAATGAAGGCTCCACTGGAGAGTGATCTTTTAGTGTATTTTATCGTGCGTTTTTAAAGCATTTTTGCTCGAGGGAACCATTTGTTCATCTTTTACTATTATTTTACTAATCTATTTACGGCTCAACTGTTTGTTATTTATGAATCTTTAAAAGAATTGTGTATACAGGAACCACCAAATCCAGAAAATTGTTAACATCGTTCCCATTGAATATACATATATGTATAGGTATAGGTATATTGTAACTAATGGATTCTCTCATTCTCTTCTGTACTCCAGGCGCAGATGATCGTTTACTGGCTGCTTCTTCATTGGCATGTCCACAGAAATGGTTCTGTTGAAGTTCTCATAGTCCACCACATAGCGCTCGTTGGTAACATCGTAGTGAATGATGTTGACGAAACGCTGACCCCAGAAGATCTCCCGCGGCACATAAGAGGTTTTGGCCTCGGTCATCTGTGCGGTGGCCGGGGAGGTGCCCACAATGGACACATACAGCTCAAACTGTGCCGCATTGAAGAGCCTGGCATTGGTGAACTGATGGAGGGGACTGGACTCGTCGATGACATGGCACACAATATCTGGCCACACGATCAACTGCTCTCCATTTCCCTCCAGCTTCAGTTCCGTGTGGGCTTTAACGACCTCGCCCTCGCGTGTGCTGCAAACGGAAGGGATGGGATTAGCTTCCCCCCAAGAGATGACAGACAGCTTGATGACTTGATGACTCACCGCTTGTCCACAATCATGTAGACGCGTATCTTAGACTCGATGGACTGCTGCTCGCGTGGATCACACACACGAAAGAGCAAACACAGAATCCCATCGCGATAGCAGATCTGAAAATGATATATGATTGACTTGAACTGGGACTGGGAGGTAGTTTCCCTGGCTTTTGGCTTCTGGCCTCTACACTCACCACCGCCTTATCGCTGAACTTGAGCTTTGTCATTTGCCTGGCGGGGCGTGCGGTCTTGGCATAGATAATGCTCACCATGCTCCCCTCGATCAGGGCAGCGCAGACCATTTGCATTATGAACAGGAACACGGTCTCCGGGCACTCCTCGCTGGCGTACTTCTCGCCAAATCCCAGTGTCGTCTGCGTCTCCACCGAGTAGATGATCATAGTAACCCAGGAGGTGACGCCATAGATGCAGGGCCTGTCGCCTTCGCCCAGCCGCACGCCACTGATCTCATCGAAGAGGAAATCGCCATGGGAGTAGGACACCACATAGCAGAGGACGGCAAAGAGCAGCCAGCTGAGGAAATAGCTGCCCAGGAAGAGGGTCAGCATGTACTTCCATTCCAGTTCCATCTGTCGATGATCGAAAGGGTGCGATGCAATATCTCCCCCAGATTAGGAATGATCGTGGATGCAGTTTGTGTTAAAATATTGTTTATTAGTGCGAGTATTGCTGTTTGGTTGTTGTCATGTTGTCATGGCCGTGCTTGGATGATCGATCGACTGATTGATTATATGGTAAACGTTACGCGTTCGGTTTGATCGGGATTAGTCTTCAGATGATTAGGATTCGGAGTCGGATTTGGACTCGGATTCAGATGAAGCTTTGCCGGCGGCTCGTGGGCCAGTTCATCCAACTTGCGCTGTATGCTGGGCGTTATGCTGTACACATCCGATCGCGATGACTCTTGGATGATCGGTGGTGATGCTTTGGTGGTGTCGTTGGTCTTTTGGCCAAACCAGGATCTTACCAGCGTGGTGATGACATCGCGCATATAGCGCCACGATTTCTCTGGTATGCGACGAAAGACCACATTCTCATTGCCATTCTTCGCCATCACACGATGAAGGCTGCGCCTGAGGCCATCACCGGTGCTGGAGGTCGCCGCTGCTGCTCCTGCTCCGGAGTCCGGGGTTAGTTCAATGGTGCTGCCTGCCCAGTCGTGTGTATAGGGAAAACTGCATGGAGATTGGAATTTCTTAGCGGAATGAAATGGGAAATGAAGATGAGGAATGGATTCCCTTACTTTTGCTCACTGCGCGTCTCGAAGTGATCGCCAGGCGATCTGGATTTGCGTCGCCTTACAAATCCCGGACTCTCTGGATAGTAATCCGCCTCATTGACCGTTTCCTTCTCGCTGGAACGGGCCAGAGGCTTCGTCTCGAGGGGCTTGGGCTTCACAGGCATCGATGTGGAGCGATGCATTGGGAGACTTTCGACTGGAGAGCTGCTCATGGTCGCGATATCGCTGCCCACACAACTGGCTTTTCCCTCATATAATTGTCGGAAATTTGGGGCAATTTCACTTTGTCCCGTAGATTTGCGTTTTAATTTTAATTGAATTAGGTTGCAATCGACGGTAGTAGTAGATGGAGAGCAGAGCTCAGTTGTCGTCTGCTTCTGGAGTGTGATTGCCTGGCTTGGCGGACCGCTTGACACTGACTGGGGCACAGTCGCATCTCCATGATCGGACCCCCGGATAAATGGCTTGTGTGTGGAAACGCTATTATCAGCTAGTCTAAGATATGCACTTTAATTTATTTATTATCTTCAGCGCGCCTCTCAAGCTCCCGACAGCCTGTGTTTGCTCGCAATTCATCCGCAAGTCTCCCGCTGAGATTAGTTCTTCAAAATGTGGCCCCATTATTTATTGTATAATTCTGTTTTTCTTATCTGTGTATTTATTTTGCGAATAATCAAATATTGTCTTGTATAAAGAATTTTTTTAAGCAGTATAGAGTGTATCTAGTCTTGATTACGTCTATTACGTCTACCAATCAGGTTCCGAGAGAGCCACCATCAGAATGCAACTAGAATTGGGTACCATTTACTACCCTTTAGAGAGAATATTATAAAGTTTCTGAGGAGTTTGTGAGATTCCGTTACGTATACATATTCTCGATTCTGCATATACATACATATGAACCTCTCAGTTTTAAAGTTACCATAACTACATTTTTCACTTAGTTTTCTTTTAATAAAGTCTACTCCAAGCCGTTGTGAGAAGAAAATCATAGGAATAGAAAGGGGGGTATAGAAACTTCCATGCGCAGGTTTTTTGAATTTTTGCAATAGATTGCATTTTAATCCTTATCGCTCATCCATTTTCTATTTGGCGCGCATCCAGTCGATAGCATCGATAACCGAATGTGAATCTGAATTCGTCAGTATATTTACGGTATATTTTCAAAATGATACGGTATTTTTTGGTATATGTCTGAAGGCCAGACCGCACTTTCTTCTTTTCTTGCCACCATGTCTAGCTTACACACCTCGCAATTTGTATACTCTTTATAGGTATTTCTAGTATTTTCCAGTATATATTAAGGCAACAATGTAGAAACCGTGTTGAAATATCGCTTAGAGCCATGTCCCAGCCCGCATCGAATACTAATTCGTGATCAGAATCGAATTCCTGATCGTTTGCCATTAAAATCTCAGTTTTTTCAAAAATGTCGGAAAAAAGGCATGTCAAAAAGAAGGTTTTTCACACTGGCGCTTCCATGGGGCTTATATGAAGAAAAAACGGGTAAAAATATTTTAAGCGTAGACATTTCCCCTTCAGGTGTCGCTTTTGGTAATTACATAAAAATGTATTTAACATTTGCTACAATGTGTAGTTGGCGTGTGGTCACCATGTATAAAATTTCGTCAGTATATTTACGGTATATTTTGAAATGTATGACGTATTGTGTGTGACATTTCGGTTGTTGTACGTCGTCTCGCCGAGTGAAATTGTGCAATTTGATTAAATCAACCAGAATCCAGCACAGTCAGTGTACACACAGGCAGGCGAAGCGTCGGCGTCTGGTTCAAATCAAAATCAAACGAAATATCGTTAGTGCAAATTGCACAAAAATTTGTGTGCGTGTGATTGTGATAGTGTGTCGTCTCGTGAAATACTGTGAAAGCTAAACTAAATAATGCTTAAAATACAATTTACATAAAGTGCCAACAAGCTGAATGTGTCGGAACACAAACAAATAGCAAACAGCAGCAAATCAAAAGGTAAAATAGATGACAGCCAAACAGTTAAGGCAGTATTTTATGGGAGGTGCTATTCTGCCCATAGATCCGCTCGTTCATGTTGCAATATCGCCTTCAAATAGTTTGTGGATAGCTTTCTGGTCCATTGCACTTTTGGAAATTGTTGAAAATCCAATTAAAAGGGAATAAATACTATATGCATGAAAGTGGTTTCTTTAACCATCAAAACACTGTGACGGAAGCAATCATTGATAAATTCCGCAGTTGTTCAAGGGAAATGGCATTCTCGGAAATGGGAAATTGTGAAATATTTAATAATATTAATATATATTTACAATATATATACATATGTATATGGGGATGTCGCATCGTTCGCCCCGATCTTTGGCTGAATGTGTGAGAGTGTGTGCCCAAAAGCGACAGAGAGAGATACGAAATTCCCAGAAACGCATTTTCTAATTTAGACCGATTTCTGAGAAGTGACAGACAGACAGCCAGCCAGCCCAAGCGGCCAGCAGAAGCAGCAGCAGCTCAACAATACCATTACACAGACACACTCTCGTGCTGTGGCCTCACACAGATACGAGTACTCATGCACGGATACACTCGTGCCCATGCTTCACACACACACACACACACAGTGATGAAAAGAGCAGGCCGAGCATGGACAGAGACGTAGAGGTGGCGGCGGGTGGTAGTATCTGTATCTGTATATGTGTATGTTTTTGCTCTCTGCAGCGATGATGTTGGCAGCTGCTTTCGTTGTAGTTGTTGCTGTTGCTGTCGTCGTTCGCACTATTGAATGAAATGCTGCTGCTACTACCCCAGCCCCTGCTGCTGCTGCTGCCCCGCTGCTGCTACTGCTGCAAACATTTAACACCGCAAACCAGGCTGAAGCTGGCCATCACACAGATACAATATGCGGATACAGTGGAAGCTCGCCAAAGTTGAACAAAAGTTCAAGTTTTTTCAAGGGAATTCGCTGAAACGAAAATATGATTGAGAGCCAAATGGCATTGAAGTGGCATTTTGATAGAATTTAAACTTGACGGTTCCTGAACTCGAAGATATATATAACCGTAAATCGAAGCAAAGAAGAAATGATTTACGAGTGTTCAATACACATATAATAGATTGAAAATATGCGATTAGCCTGCATATCCACTGAATACCAGATGAACTTGATGTTGATGTAAAAACTATATCTACGTCTATAGATAAAACAGCCTCTAGTCTCTAAAGATCCGTCATGGAAGTTTCACTGTAGTTCTTCAGAAAGAGAGTTTGCTCCCAATCAATGAATTCAAAGCTACATTCTATGCCATCCATCCCATAAGGAGACTTGTCAAACAGGCTGTCAGCATTGCCCCCCGGTTCTCATCTCAGAGTGCTCACTGTATCTGTGCAATGCTCTCACCCATACCGATGGGAACGCACACACACACAAGCACACACACTCTTCTGGCTGACTGGATAGATGGCTGACTGGGCTGGTTATTGGTCTCTGGCTCTTTCGGCCTTTCTGGCTTCTTGCTAAAGGTGTAGCCTATCCGCCGTGCCGCTCAATTCGGCTGAAGCCGTACAACAACAACAGTAACAACAGCCACATCTGAAGACTTCTCCCTCTCTTCAGGGAACGTTCCGTTCGGCGTTGTTGTACCCTTCATAAGAAAAGGTGTTATTAACTTTGTTTGTAATGCGTCAAAGAGTGTTGTTGCCGTCTGCGCTCCTCTCGTTGGGAGAGTGTGTATGTGTGTGTATGTGGGTCTGCACTTTTTTGATGATTCTTGGTAAAGAAACCCGCTTTTACCATCTTCTTCCGCTCATTTCCTTGAAATTTGGTATTAAACTTGAGAGCATTTTCAATTTTGTGTACACTTTAAAGAGGGTCTCGTTGTTTTGAGCAGACGTTTGCCCTTGCTCCAGATTCTATAGATACATATGTATCTTTTCCGATTCTCGTAGATACGAGACTATTTCCATTACTTTGGATTGATCCAGCCATTTGCTTTAAATATTTCAAGGAAATTTCATACAAACGATGATGCGGCAAGGGTACCTTAAGCTTCGGTGTTCAAAGCTGGCCTTTCTTTCTTGATTTTTAATAGCATTTCATGTGAAATTGTTTCGAACAGGATAAGTGCACTGAGAGGAGGGGCAGCAGACCCAGAGAAAGAGGGAGTGGATGGGGACGGGGACGGGGGCGCTGCTTAATTGGCGCTCCACGAGAGGCAAAGAGATGGCAGAGCCACAGCGAACGTGAACGAACATGAAAGATCTTGCAAAATGCCAAATTGTCTGCTTGGCAACGGCCTGAGCGAGCGTTCAGCTGCTGCCACTCACACAGATACACACACACTCGCAAATACACAGCTATAGATGCAGACACAGCCACAGACACAAATGCAAACAATCATAGGTACTCCGTCCGTAGGATTTTGGCTATTGCCCTTCCTCTTTGCTTGCCTTTCTTTCGTTTATCCTATTGTTATTTGTTTTTCCTTTCTGCTCTTTGGCATTTTCGATGAGATTTCGCTGGAAATTTGATTTTGTTCGTTTCTCGTTTTTATTGTTAATTGTTCGCGTGAATTTGTTCAATTGAAACGCAATGCCAAATAGTGAAATGTGGGCAAAACACTCAATTCTGTAGGTGAGTGAGTGCGTCTGTGTGTGTGTGTGTGTCGAGTGGCTCTATCAAGCGAGGGGGAGGGGCTGGGATAAGTACTCGTACTCATGCTGTGAGAGGGATGATGTGTTGGCCTAGGCCTACGTTTGGTACTGCATTGTAGTTATAGGGAAATATGATATCGTATGAACATTGCTTGTTTTCGGATTGTAAAGCCAAAAGAATGAAAACATGTTATATTGTTTGGCCGATTGAGATGTTCGGGAATGAATATCATTCGGAATTATTGAGAAATGCAGTTCAGATTCCCATCAGACTTTGTTGCCTGTTTTTAAGATCTCTCAACTCTGATATGCATATCTTATCCGTAGTTAAACAGCTTCTGGATGTGTTTATTCTTTGTTATATATTTTTGAATTTCTGTACATTTATCTTAAGGTAGATAGTACCTCTTATCATAGCCAGTCTCATATCACACAATCATAGGTCACGGCTATATTTCTTGGACTGAATTATTCAACTTTATGGTCCAAAGTCTCATCCTTTACAATATACCCGAATACTCGTACAAATTGCATCTCAATTCTCCTGCTGACTGCTGCACTGACCTTATTGTTCGAGTATTTCCATAGTAAACCCATTTAAGAGCAATCCGCATAAAGGTGAGACGAAAACTGTTGTGACAAAAGCAGCGAACGACCGAAAAACCAGTTCCAAGCATTTTTTCTATTTGTGTCCAAGTTTCGTAATCAATGGTAACACACACACGAGCTTGTGTGTATGTGTGCACATTTGAATGGGTTTCCACGACAAAGCTCCCGGGACTATGAGCAATAATCAACATGCGATTGGACTATATCTCTTGACCTTACCCCAGGCTGCTCTCTCCTCCACTTATCAGAGCCGCATGTCTCCTGTTCTCCCCCGACGCTCCGTCTGCCCGTCTCCCCGTACATATTTGCTTTTCCTGGGAAAAGCGAACGAAATGCTTTTGATTGTTCTAAGAATTTTGTTTCGTTTCAACTTTGCAAACGTACGGTTTCTGTTGATAAGCCGCCGTCGTCGGTGTTTGTGTGCTCTGACAGTATCTGTGAGCGGGCTATCTTTGTGGGCGGGTGTTTGTTGGTTCTGCGGTTCGTAGTAATTTATCAATGAATTTTTGTATAGAAACTTGTATATAGTCGTTTCGCCTTGCTGATAGTGCGATACATACATACACACTCGTACTCTTAGACGTATACATACACATGCGTACATTTGTATATTTCTTCGTATTCGCAAAGGTCGCCTTAGTTCTTTTCGTATCTGATTACGTTTCTGGCCAATCGTAATCACTAAAATTATACATTTTAATCAGTCACGTTTACCGTTTACCGTTTGTCGTTTGTCGCTCAAGTGCTTTTCCCTTAATATATTATGAGAGTGCTGCAGTTTGCCGTTCAGTTAATATTTCCACGCGGAATCGAACAGGTAAAAACGGAGGGAGACCTTCCAGTGAAACTGATTTCGCGATACAAACCTACCTCAATCTCGAAAAAGTGCAAAAATAGTTTTACTACTACTATTATCGGTTATTTCGTTTCATCGGGTGAATAGAAATCGAACTTTACTTCGAAGCGGGGTATTCCTTCATCAATGTGATACTCTAACATTTTGGATACGCTTAAAGATATTTTCTTCATGATTCATTGCTAATGTAAAACTTATTCCTTGACGATAAACTTGAGAAACAACAGACAAGAGATCAATATCGTATCAACATCCTATAATGAATCAATCTTTCATTTTTAAAAAGTTGTAGTTTCATGTTTTTTTTCGAAAATTTTAACGTTTTCTTCAGTGAATTAATTTTTTTAGTTCTTAAATTTTGATGAAGGCTCTGTGCAGTAATGTATCAAAATAATATTTAATCATATGTTTTAGGCCTTAAAATAATTTATATAAATAATATCTGCTCATATCCTACACAGTAAATTTTCTTTTTGTAAATTATTATGGATCTAAACCAACTTCTACACCCCCTTTTTATACCCGATACTCAAAATGAGTATTGGGGTATATTAGATTTGTGGTAAAAGTGGATGTGTGTAACGTCCAGAAGGAATCGTTTCCGACCCTATAAAGTATATATATTCTTGATCAGCATCAATAGCCGAGTCGATTGAGCCCTGTCTGTCTGTCCGTCCGTCCGTCTGTCCGTCTGTCCGTCTGTCCGTCCCCTTCAGCGCCTAATGCTCAAAGACTATAAGAGCTAGAGCAACGATGTTTTGGATCCAGACTTCTGTGATATGTCACTGCTCCAAAAATATTTCAAAACTTTGCCCCGCCCACTTCCGCCCCCACAAAGGGCGAAAATCTGTGGCATCCACAATTTCGACGATACGAGAAAACTAAA